TCTGACTACTCCCTCGCTGACTCTCATTGTGGATGTGTTGTTTCAAGGCTGGGCGGCCATCTGATGGACCTTCTAGTCCAAATTACGTGGCTGACCACATATGCGGGCCGCCACATCTATTGGTTGGAGTTGCAGACCGTCTTACTAACTCTGAAATATTTTGAGAAGGTCGCACATAACCACAGAGTTTTGTCTTTGGACAGACAACATCTCAGTAGTGTTGTACAGCAAGCAGTGGGGATGTGTTTCCCCATGTTGTTTTAGTTAGCGGAGGAGATTCTCTTTTGATGCCTGGAACCAAGTGGAGCTATGGCTTACCACCTTCCAAGGACGCCCTCTCAAAACGTTTCTTAGAACACAGAGTGGCAGATCTCCCAGTGGGTGGTGTATCACCTTTTATTCGTCTCTCTGACAGACCCCGGATGGATCTGTTTGCCAATCACCGGAATACCAAGCTCCCGGAGACAAGCGCATTTGCCACAGGCGCTCTAGCAATCTCTGGGAGTGCCATGGATGCTTACGTGTTTTCACCCTTCCAACTAGTGAACCAAATGTTCAAGAAACTGCGACTCAAGCCCACCTGCCTTCTGACACTGGTGGCGCTCAATTGGCCAGTGAAGGTCTGGTCCTATGTTGCTGGACCTTCTAGTCGAGTACCCAGGGGAATTGCTGAATCTGTTGTTCCAGCTAGATGGCACTCTCCCGATGCGCCCCACGTTGTCCATCTTCACGAGTGGAGGCTGTCGACAAACTCATGCAAGCGCAAGGCTTTTTGGCAGAGTTATCCAAGTTCCTCGCTTTCGGCACAGTCGGGCGGCACCAGACATTTTTATGAGCCCAGTTGAGACTCTACATCGATTGGTGTAATGGAAGGGAGATTGAGTATCTCTGTCCTCTACTAGCTAGGTAGCTGATTTTGCTTGTATTTATTTAATAGAGGAAAATCTATATCGATGATTCTTGGAAATCAAATCTTCCAGACTGGGACTTGCCGTTGGTTCTGGCGGCGTTACGACACCCCCCCCCATCGAGCATATGGAAAGGCGGACATGAAGTATGTCACTATGCAAACAGTTTTTGATTCCCGTCTGCGAAGCACAAAAAGAGTCTTTGCATTTAGTGTGTATGTCTGTGTGTGTGTGTGTGTGTGTGTGTGTGTGTGTCTGTTCCACTGATATCATACATTAATTTTTGATGAAACTTGGTGCATAGATGCTCTGGACCAATGCGCAGATTTGATTAGGTTTTGGTAAAAATCCATGCATGGTAATTACCTAATTTGCATGATAATTAGCTGATTTTAGCTGTTCGATGATTGCTCCACTGGTATCTAAAGAACCACTCATTGGATTTTGATGAAACTTGGCACATAGATGCTCTGAAGTAATGCGCACATTTGATTAGTTTTGGGTAAAAATCTGTGCAATATTAATTACCTAATTTGCATAATGATTAATCAATTTTTGGCTTTTCCACTGATATCTCAAGTACTAATCACCACATTTCAATTAAAAACTTAGTACATAGATACATTTTGGATCATAGGACACTACACAGACCCTAGTTTTTAGGGTAATATCAGTACTAATTTGCATAATTAATTAATTTTCAGCTTTTGATGTTTTAAGTAGTACTCATCACATTTCAATAAAACTTGCTTGGTACATAGATGTCATAGGACACTGCACAGACCTGATAGTTTTTAGTGTAATATCAGTACATATTATTAATTACCTAATTTGCATAATTAATTAATTTTCAGCTTTTGATATTTCAAGTAGTAATCTTCAAATTTCAATGAAACTTGGTACATAGTTACTCAAAGACTGTGCAGAGATCTGATTAGTTTTGGGGTAAATATTTCTGCATATTAATCACCTTATTAGCATAATTAGTTAATTTTCAGTTTTTTTGCCTGATAACTCAAGTACTGATCTTTATATTTCAATGAGACTTGCTACATAGATCCTCTAGGACTATGCAGAGACCTGATTAGTTTTAGGGTAAATAATTGTCGATATTAATTACCTAATTCACATAATTAGTTAATTTTTTCCATGATTGTTCCATTTTAAAGAACCACTAATTGGATTTTATTGAAACTTTTATAGAGTATTCATCATCACATTTCAATGAACCTAGGACTATGCAGAGACCCAAATAGTTTTTGGTAAATATTTATGCTTATTAATCACCTAATTAACATAATTAATTAACACTGATATCTCAATTACTGATCATCACATTTGGTAAAAAAATTTGGTACATAAATGCTCTAGAACAATAGATAGACCTGATTAATTTTGGGTTGAAATTTGTTCATATTAATTCTCCAATAATAATTCATGGTTTTTTTGTTCTAATCACATTTCAATGAAACTTGGTACATAGATATTACATTACGCAGGCCTTATTAGATTTACACTCAAATCTGTTCATATCAGTAATACCTGATTTACATATTAGTTTTCAGCTATTCCAGCAATATCTCAAGTACAAGTAATTTTGAAATAATTTTTAATGTGTCTTCAATAGTCTCAGCACACAGTTCTTTCCAAGCTTTCTTTGATTTCTTTTGGCTTTGGTGCCAGGTAGGTGGTGTTCGGCGTTCAGAGATCGGAGCACTGTCCTTCAGTGACGGATGTACCTCCTTTATGAACTCGCAAGTACTCGGGTGGGCTTTCTTGCCAAAACCAAATCCCATGGCATGATTCTGAACCGATTGCATCCCACACCGCACTAACATAGTGGGCACGGAGGACTGTCATGAATGGATTCTATGTCCTGTCAGAGCTCTGAGCTGATACTTCGATCGCACCAAGGTGTCTCGGGCAGCAAGAGGCGCATTTCTGCTGCCTAGCTTGAGGGGGTGCTCCGAGCGGGGTTCTGGAGTAATGTCAATCACTTTCTCCTGTATTTTCAAAGCCCATTGACATCCCAGGCCTTGGTATATTGGTTTCAAAATGAAAGAACTTAAATTTAATGGAGAGCATGAAAAATCACTTGAGACTTGAAAATCCAAATAAATATCATACGTACTCGACCCCAACCCTGGCTGAGTATGCCACAGACTCAATGGGAAGGCCAATTCCACTGGCCGAGATTCATTCACTAACGAATGCGACTTTGGGGGAACCTTGGTTAAGGTTCGACCGAACCTGGTTGACGCCAGGATAGGAAGATGGCCACACATCCCTGTCATGTAGTCCCAAACATGAATCTGACTTCTGTGGCAAAGATGCAATATGTGTCAGCACTAGCACTTGCAATTTGCACATACAAAAAAAAAAGTCAGGAGAAACAACAGTGACATTCAATGTCCGGAACTGTCGCCTGGCACAAAAAATATTTAAAAAAAAAAAAAATATCATACGTACTATGATGTGATCCAGACGGAGTACATAGATAAGCCATTTTTGTGCTGAAAAATTTTCGAAATCAAACATTTCTGGCATTGCGAAACCGGATCTCGGTTGTTTACAGATGGATTATGTTCAAACTTTGTACATACATTAGACATTAGTGGCTGATTGACAGCCATTTTGTTTTAATGAATGCAGTTCTGACATGCTTAGACTAAAATTTTATCATGTATTGGTTTGACTATCCAATTCAAAATGACTGACCAGTCTCTCAATATGGACAAGTACTTGTTTGAAGTTCAGATACAAGATGACTGAATATCAATCATTTCAATGTTTAAAAATCATTTTAATCAAGCATCAGCATCTGGATCCATATCTCTGACATGTTTAAGTTCCAACTGTATTACCACAAACAAATCTATTTATCTTAAATTTGATAACTAACAGGGACTGTGCCATGCATGGTTTGTTTTTTTCATAAAATGTTATTTGCTACATGCTAATAGGTACTATTAGTTCTAAAACTGCAACAAAGTGTATTATTATACATCTGTCACCACAATGTCATAAGTTACGGTGTGCCATAATTTTACGGTATTTTATAGGTGATTTCATCCTACCATATTAGGAAATGCGAATGGCCACCACTAGGGTTTAACCAGAGTCCACACAAAGAAGTTTGCTGATTCTGTTCTAAACATTATAATAATAAGATTATTAGAAGAATACACTTAAAGTATGCACTCTGTCGATACACCCTCTGTACTGTCTTCATGCATACTTTGAGGTATCCTTTGAATAACCTTATATTATAATAATTGTTATTATCAGATTTTTAATGATGCCTTGTAGTATGTTAATAAAACACAGACCTGATAATGTTCAGTCAAAATCTGTGCATATTACTAGTATGTTAATGTTATGCACTGCACTTCCAAATATAGACTTTTAACACTTTTATTTCCCTACTCCTAAATGAAATGTTATTCCTTTTTGGGGGCAAAAATCATTGAACGACAGGCCTATTTTTCATAAAAAGTTAAAACATTAAACCTTTTTTAGAATGTTTCGAATTTAATTGGATATATTTAATAATTAGCATTTGAAAAATAAGTGAATTAATGGAGACCACATTTTTTTGTGGTAAAATTGGCTAATCTTGGGCCAAATAGACAGAAGTTTGCAGTACCAGTTACAGGACCCTAATATAGTTGTATGTACACATTATTTGTACAATACTTTGTAATGTAAATGCTCACTTGCCACCAATGTTTCAGTTGTGTATGCACTCAGTTTTGATCAAATTATCAAATGGGCAATATGAGGTTACTATTATAATTAATATTTAAAAACAAATTATTGTTTACATTAAGCACTGCATGAGTGCAACATGTATTGTAAAAGTAAATTCATGATAATATATTTATAATAATATTTATTTAAAATTTAGCTAATCTGTAATTTCAAAATAAAAGAAAGAAAAAAGTTGCAGCCCCCAACAAAAATCACTGGAAAATATCTAAATATATAATCACACAAACATGGCTACTTGCATACAATTGCAGTTTTGGTCTTAGTTAAATGATTCAAATAATCAATACAATTAATAGTAAAAACCACATTGCTTAATTTCAGATCTCCATATACCATGCCTTAATTGGTCAAGCTCAGGCAAACCGGATACAAAGTGCAAGCAGGTGACCTTTGAGTTTTGTCCTAATGAACCAATGCCATCTATTTTTAGTTCCAGGTAAATGTCACTGATAATATTGTTATTATAGTATTAAGGTAGCGAAAAAGGAAAAACAAGGAAGACAAAAACATTTGGTGCATAATTTATGTTGATTTTCATGAACCCAGTGATGGGTAAACACATCCTTCACACATTTACAAACAAGGTTGAGTGATGAACTGAAAACAAGATATTTAATTTGCATACTGATTTGTTATATCCTGTGTAATCTTACCGTTACATTCTTGTTACAATATTTAGATTTTAAGCTTTTCTCAGTGTCTTTTTTTTTTTAAATAAATGTTGCTTCTTTACTGCGTTGACATGGTTCATCACTGACTATAGACAGTGTTGTGATAGACCTCACTGACATTATTTACATAATAAATAGGCTTGTTTGTATCAAGGCGCAACAACATGTATATTTTAAAGCATCATGTTGAATGACAAGTTAAAAAAAGTAAATTGTGACATCATATACATGTATGCATAAACATAATTCATATAACGACATCTACTCCACTATCGCTAACTTGGTTATAACACGATTTGTAGTTTCATGGTTAACAAAATTATACACTCTCCATCACCATAGAGTAAGGCTTGTATATTCTGTAAGTAAACGATGTTGCCTACATGTTTAGAGAACCAATTGTACTGTAGGAGCTGTTTAACATAACAAAGAAACATGAATAAATTAGTTTTGCATCCACTTTCTAGGAGTTAGCTAATTGTTTATGTAACAGTCCTCATAGATCAGATATTTGTATATGTACAGTACTCATTCCGCCCAACCTCCCGTTTTTATTGTTTGTTTTTTTCGCCTGCTGATTGCTTAATTTCCGACCGCTCGCTGCTTTCCGACCGGAAACCGACAGTTTTTTTTTCGCTCGCTCGCTTTTGTTTGCTCGCTCTTGTTCGCTCGCTCCTGCTATGGTTGGCTTCACAAACATCGACCACTTGCCAACCGACTACTGGAGTAACGATGATCATACATTGTATGTATAAACTTAGGTTTTAATGACGATTCAAAATACAACACGTTTTGCTTCTCTGTATTGGGAAGGGGGACAAAGACTCTTTCAAATCACTTGACACATTGTAATGTTTGCTACACAAGTCGAACTGTGACCTGTATTTACATATTTACGTCCTTGTGTGTGTAGTTCAAGCAGCTATATAACTGGTCAATCAATCGTGACATGTATTGAGTACTAGTATTTGTATTTTGTGTATGTTTCTTTGTGTGATTTTAACTAAATTTATTCCGAACAGCGCTCAAAATAATATGACACTTTGTTATTTGCGAATGCAACTCACCATTTTACCTGGTTCACACAGATTAGAAATACACCGTTGAAGGGCCAGTGAGAACACTGGTGTTAGCATTGTCTCTACAACGGTGTGTTTCGTTTGCGATCACACGACATTAAAACACCGGCGTAATTTTATATTAGGCCTGTGTAGCACCCCCTCTGTAGTTAGATCTGTGTTTGAACATATTCGTACCCTATCACTACGGTTATTATTTTCAATTGCTCCCTTGAATCTTGACTTCAAAGGTTTTACTTTTTGACAGCACAGTTACGGGTTTATCTCACCCCAATTCCTTGTCTTTTTGTGCAATAATCCTGTAAACCTGGCTATCATGGGAGGTTCCGTGTATCAATCTAAAAATATTTTCCTCTTGTCAAATAGAAATTAGTAGCAGGACTTCATTATTATACAATTATTCCGAGACTACTCGTTCCACTGACCAGAGCGGTATGTGACTCGTCATCATGTCGTTGCTATGGACGTAGACATGAATTCCTGATAGAGCATGTCTGTGCCACTGTTTATGCCACTGTGCATGTTCACACACACTTTTGTTGAGAATTTAGGTCTGAGCTCGGACTCTGGTCCGAAAGTTTACGCCGGTGTAAAATCTGGTCACACGGTAAAAATAACACCGTCGTTAAATTTATGGCGGTGCTACAACGGCGTAATTGTTATGTGTGAACCAGGTATATGACCCTTACTCAATTTGCATAAGTATTACAAATGCTGCAGTTCAGAAAATCTATCAGGTTAACTTTTGCTCGTGTCTGGGTGCGCAAAACAAAACTTGCACATATAATCATCGCATAGCTGAATTACTACAAATCTTAAACTACTAGTATAATGACTGTGACGATTAATCGCTTGTTTGAGTACATGCGGCAACGAATTATTGGATTGGCAGCAGCCGGACGAAAAATGAAAGAGATCTTGGAACAGTTAATTGTTGAGGAAAACATAAAACAAAACAAAACAGCCAGTGATGTATTTCGAAAATAAAAATACAAAATAAACGCAATCAGAGGCGCTGACCACGTGCATTGGAAATAAATATAACGGGTTGTGACATGCAATATAATTATGCTATTTCCCAAAGCACTTATATTTAATACATTGACGAAAAACACCACAAGAAAAATGTAAATCAGGCTTGTACTGTAATTACTAGTAACTCAACTCAAACGCAATATTGATCACTGTAAAAGTGGATAAATTCAAATTCAAAATTCAAATGATCTCGTTGAATGTCAATCAAAAATAATCTCAATGTTTAGAAAGACAAAAACAGCAACATATTAGAGTTCCAAAAAACTTAGCAGCAAAGAACAAGAAATGCATGTGGGAAAGCGATGAGTGAACTCAAGGAAAATTATGCTAATGTGATAACAAGTTATATACCCCCGCGAAGTACTCGCTAAAACATCAAGAACATCGGTTTTTGTGTGGCATTATTGGCTCATGTCTAGCAAATATCATCAATAAAATCTTTAGCGGTCATGTGACCTTGGCCGTCATATTGGATTTAAAAATGGCTCATTCATGTGCTTAGAAATTTGCTTTGCAGCACCTATGTCCATAGCTCTACAAAGTTACTGAGAAGCAAATTTTTGAAAAGTGGCTTCCTTTGGCAGCCATCTTGGATTTAGTAAAAAGTGAAAGTATGTGGCTGTCTATCGCACACATTCGATCAGGTCCAAAAAACTGTGAGCACTGTGATTGTGTAATGGTAACACAAAAGACTATGATAGACTGTAATACGTCGTTTATTTCGGAAAACAAGTCTGGCATCAAAG